TTTGGTGATGTTCAGATAGCTATGATTCCACCTTATTTCATTTTTCCAAATTTTCTATTATTTCAGTTCCATGTTTTGCATTGTACTACCTACAACTTTTCATTCTCAGGACTGTTACCTTATAGGTCTACGTCAATGTGAATTTAGCACCCTTGGTATGTTTGGTTTCTTCATTTTAAAGTGCTTCCTTATTGTTTGGAACCTGAATCATATTGGTTATGTTTAAAAAATCAAATGAATTGCTATATCTCATACTTCCAGATTTCTATTATTTCAGACCCTTGTTTTTCTTTTTACTGCTAGCTATTTTTCTTTATCAGGACTGCTACCTTTTAGGTCTCGATCAACGTGGATTCAGCACCCTTGGTATGTTTGATTTCTTCATTTTAAGTTTTCACTCAATCTATGGCTTTCCAATTTTTTTTCTTTTATTAAGTACAAAGGAACTTGAAGCTTTCCTTATTGTTTGGAACTTGAACATATTTTTTATGTTTAAAAAATCAGTGAATTGCTATACTTCATACTTCCAGATTTGTATTATTTCAGACCCATGTTTTTCTTTTTACTGCCAGCTATTTTTCTTTATTAAGACTGCTTCCTTTTAGGTCTCGATCAACGTGGATTCAGCACCCCAATTTGATCTTTGTTTTTTTTATTTTGGAATTCTCGCTTGAACTATAGCTGTCCATTGTCAAACCTTAAAGAGCTCAAAGCTATTCTTGATGATTGGAACTTTAATTATTAAAGCAATGAAACGCTATGTTTGGTACTTCTATTTATTCTGTTATTTCAAATCTCTGTTTTGTTTTTTGGGAAAAATGCTCTATTTGTTAAAAAGAAAGTTTTTACATAGTTTCTTTGTGATTAGAGTTTGCTTTTTGGTGACTAAGTGGATTCAATTTTTAGACATTTTGTTAATTTAAATTCCATTGAATTTTTGTTGTAGCTTTTGCGAAATGGGGAATGGAGATATACAACAATGTCACAGTGGTGGAAATGTTGGAAATAGTAAATAGTTTCTATTTTGAATTTGTATTATTAGTCTAATTTTGACTAATTTACTTTTAGATATTTCTTGTCAATTCTAGAAGAGTGTAATATTGAGTTGAGACTTTTGCTGTATCTATTGAAGATTATGTTTGTCATAGCTTTCATGAAATTGGCTATGGGAATATATAGAACAATACGAAGGTTGGTCTTAAATCTAGAAATGATGATGTACTTCTTTAAGTGAGAGCAGAATATTGACAATATCTTCTTGTTATTCCTCCTGTAGGCATCTAGGCAATGAGAGAACTCATTTGATGTTTTCTACTGAATATTGTGATAAGGATAATAGTGGGAGTTGCTTGGAAAAGCCAACGGCATTAAGGTCCTACTACAATAATGGTAGGAAAAAATTTACTTCGGTTTTTAATTGTTCCATTTTCAGTTTCTGTACCCTCGGCTTGCTTTCTTAGATTTTCTACTTTGGAACTTAAGCTTTATTTATTATATATATCACTTCATAAAGGCATCTAGGTGATGAGAGAACTCTCTTGAAGTTTTTTACTGAATATTGTGGTAAGGATAATAGTGGGATTTGCTTTAAAAAGCCAATGACTTTAAAGTCCTACTGCAATATGGTAGGAAAAAATTTACTTCGGTTTTTAAGCTGGAAAAACTTTGCACTATGGGTTTTTAATTGTTCATTTTCAGTTTCTATACCCTTGGCTTGCTTTCTTACATTTCGTACTTTAGAATTTCAGTTTTTGGTAGAATTCATAATTTTTTTCTTCAACTTGCTTTATTTATTATATATCACATGAAGGCATCTAGGCATTGAGAGAACTCATTTGAAGTTTTTTACCGGATATTGTGGTAAGGATAATAGTGGTAGTTGCTTGAAAAAGGCAGTGGCTTTAAAGTCCTACTGCAATCTGGTTTGAAAATTGCAGTGGTAAGAATATTATGGTAGTTGCTTGAAAATTGTACTATGGGTTTCTTAATTTTTCCAGATTTAGTTTTTGTACCCTTGGCTTGCTTTCTTAGTTTTCTACTTTGGAATTTAGTTTTTTGCTAGAATTCATAATTTTATTCTTCAGCTTGCTTTATTTATTATATATCACTTCATAAACCTAAGTGAGTTAGCTTCACAGTCTGAATTCTTTGTATAAAAGGGGCAGATTGTAGAGAAGTTCTATGAATGACTAAACACTATTCGCCTCAAGTTTCAGTATCTTGATAGAGAAATGAGTTACAGTGAATTGTACAACAAGCAACAACAATCTAGAAATTTAATTTGATTTTTTTCTTTTTGTGTGCACAGGTGAGTAGTGGCAAGAAAACTAGGATAAAGCATTCTTATTACTTCTTTTTCCTTCTGTATTAGACAAAAGATTAATTTCTTTTTCTTGTTATTGGACTTTTTAATTAATTGAAATCATATCTACTTTTAGTTTTCAGGTCTTTTGTCTTTTTGCAGGAATTGTGGTGGCCATGTTATAAGTTTAATTGCTAGTTGATTTCTTGATTTTGAAACTGTTATAGGCTTGTTAAACAATGCTTCAAATGCTCTCCTGCATTTTAGTGAAAAGTATGTGTTTATGATGGTCGAACTTAAATTAAATATTGATCTTGTAATTGTACGTATATCTTCCTCACCATTATAATGGTACAATGTTAAAAAATTGATGGACTTAAGTATGTCTGATTTTATTGAGTTAGGGATGCACAAATCAGATTTTGTGCATGGTTCTAGAAGCCACCCAAGCTTGTGATTAATGTTGGAGCATGGTTCGATATATGGCTTCTATTGAGAGTCTAATGATCTGCTTATTGTTCTTGTTTGAAGATTGGTTTTACTGGTTTAGAAGTAAATTATTGTTTTTTATTTCATTGAGTGTAGTGTCTGTTTATCTCAACTCTTTTGTTAAATTGACTTTAGAAAATTATTATTGGGGTCTTTATGTGACTTTTACGATGCATTTTATGATGTTCTTATGATGATGAATATGGGGAAACATTTTTCAATAAGCTAAATTTCGTTTACGGTTTCTCCTGTCTAGGGTTATTTTAAAGTGGCAAGTTCATGATATTTATTTAATCATATTTTGTATTCCTTTGAAAAAAACACTCTGGCCTTACTAGAATCAGTGGTTGTATTTTTTCTTTTCTGGATGGATTTAAATGTTTCTGGTTGTGATTTTTCATATACTATTGGAGAAAATAGTTCATTGTGCATCCCTTAAGTCTAATTTATTTGGTATGGTTTCTGGTGTCACTTTTTCAATGCAACAGGGTTTTACCAATTTTAGCAAATTTCATGGAGAATTTGGCCTTAGTGTGTTTTCATATCTTGTTCTCTTAACTGGTTGTTTAACCATAGTTTTTTTTTTTTTTTACTTTCATCAGGTTAATGGACACATCGAAGTTTTGTTTTGAATTGGCTCGTCTCCTTGGGCAGTCATGCAAATATCATTGTATCAGGAACTGCAGTAACAGTTTGAATGTGTAGCAGCTAGTCCTGGTTTGAGAAGGAAACAAATGGTGGCCATGTCTCGTTTTGTTTGAAATGACCATATAATCAGGGTGCAAGGAGGGCTTGGTGCAACTTGCATGACATAGATTTTAGCAAAAGATGATCAAATAGGTATGCTATAGCCATCAGTTCTTTATCCACTACTTTTTTCCTTCATTATGATAATACAATCTTTTAGCGCTTAGAATTGAAAAATTCAGCTTTTTTATCATTTGTATATGTGAGTTTGTAGTGTAGTGTGACTTGAGTGTAGACGTTTACCATATCTACCGAAGATGCTATTTCTTGTGGCTTACTGAAATAAGAAATAGGAATATGTCACATTGGCGTTGACACTTGCTGATGGTGTATATTTGAATTTAGATGAACAAGATAATATTTGAAATTTCATTTTTGCAGTCATGGAGAGCTGTTTGAAAAACTTTCATGGTGAAGGCTATAATGAACGGTAATGACTGTTATAAAAATTACTTTCACTACTTGACATAATTCTTGAGAAAAATGCTAATAATGGCTTGTATATTACTCCAATCATATTGAATTGATATAATAGTTATTTTATGTCATCTTGGGATGGTTTTGAGATTGAGAAAAGTGCTAACAATGGCTTGTATATTACTACAATCATATTGAATTGCTATAATAGTTTTTTATGCTAGCTTAGGATAGTTTTGAGCTGATAGGTGCTTAGTTAATGCCAGGTAGTTCAGACGCATTGTTAGGCAAGAATAGAATTAGATAGGTACATGCGAGCAGTTAATTATAGCACCTGTTAGAGCATCTAAAAATGGTAAGACAGGTTAATGAAGGTTGATAGCTACAGCAAGGATCAAATTTTGTTTGCCGAATTGAAATATATATTATAATTGGAGATGCTCCTTTTTCCACATGTGCTTTGGTAAGTGAGCATTTATAGTTAATAGAGACATTGTAATTTATTTTTTTAGGAAAATTTTTCCATTTATCAAAGTGATTTTAGCTGTTTTGTGATTATTGTTTTTATTGTTGAAAATTTACAGGAACTAAAATAATCCAAAAGAACAAAGAGGAAATTTGAGGGTTTGGTTTTCTTTCTTGAGTTATGATTTACTGATTTAGGGGTATTGCTAAATTAAGGTGTGACGTTATAATTGTTACGTTTTGATATATTATAGTTGTAAATTTAATTGAGCTATAATGGTTTTGATTATAATTATTTCGTCATCCATTCAACTTAAATTCACTTTATTTCACAATGTTTGCAATTAGGAATTTAAATTAGGTAGAATTAATTTGATTATAAGATAAATTTTTGCAATGTGCAATATAATTTCGGTTGATTTCCTTGCAAGTAATTGTATTTAGTAATTATGTGTATCATAGGAGAAAATTGATGATTTATTTTATTTTATTTTCCAATCAGGGTTAGTAATGGAATTTATTTAATTCTTTTATAATAACTATTGCATTTATTTTTTCTTTTTGAGATGTGCATGTGAAAATTAATCGTTTTATTTTATTTTTTGTAATTATGATGCAATATTAGAATTCAAAAATTTTTAACTATGGAACGACCAAGTGCATCCTAGAGTGTGAAAAAAAGAGCATTGGAGGAAGATGATGGTATTGGAGGGAGGAAATATAAATTTAAAATTCTACTGCCAAATGGGGCTAGTGTAGAATTAACTCTATGGGACCCCATCCTCTGAATGTCCTTTCGACTTCATTAAGTTGGTGAAAGGTGAGTATTTTCGGGCTTGGCAAGAATGCAAATCAATGAGTCAGAAAAGAACGGTAAATTGGAAAAATGAAGGGTTGTACCTTGAAGATGCCTACAAGAATAAGATACGAAACATAATGGACTTTGGGAAGTTCAAGCCACATAGGTACCATATTTTACGGCTAGATGTGAGTATTTGTAGTCTAAGTGTTTACGCTGTTTGATTATAAGAGTTTTCATGTCAGGATTAAGTGATGCTTTAATTTGTTTATTTCTTCATTAGGATGGGTCCAGTGAGATTTCCAATACTTTTGAGTTTAGTAATTCTTAATATTTTTGACTTTTTACATATTTTTGCTTTATTGATTTTGAACATTCATTGTGGTTCTTTGTTCATCTTTTATGCGCTTGATGAAGAAATTTTATTCAGTTTTGTGATGGACTGGTTTGTTTATAGAGCATGTGGGATTTGATGCCGGATACTGATCCATTAATGGAGTGGCCAGAAGAATACACTTTTGAAACTGTGCTTGCAGATTTGATTGTATGTTGTTGGATGCAATTGAAAGAATTAAAGAAGTTTTGGCTTTTTGGCTTTTTGGTTTATGTAGTCGCTTATTCTCTATTGCCCATGTACCAGGATAATTCCATGCAAGCCATATCGACCAATGGTGAAAATGATAGGAGATTAATTAGGTATGACATTTGTATGATGACCATATTTTTGCTTTGCTACCTATTATATTTACTTTTATGTGTTTGTTTTGTATATACTTGATTTTCATGCTATTTACAGCATATTTCTACTTTTCCAATTCTTTACAGCGTGAACTTCAAATCTGTTATCATCAAACTAGCCTAGTGGGCATGCAAATTAATTTGTTCATATGTGAATAGATAAATTCCATTATTTTTCAGAATGCTTTTGTTTATCGTTCATTTCATTGCAAATAGAAACAATAGATAAATTCCATTATTTTTCAGAATGCTTTTGTTTATTGTTCACTTCATTGCAAATAGAAACAGTAAGGTTTGACCTCGAAAAAGATAAATATATATAAACTAGTTTTTAGAAAAAAAATTATCATGTACCATAACATAAAAATTCTTATGAGCAGAATAATACAAATGAGAGCAAGAAAAAAAATCGTCACTCTGAAGAACACTTTTTTTTTCCATTGTTTGGTTTTCATTACTTTTATTTATAAAATAACCAAAATAACTTTAATAAGTTGTGTGGCCATTCTCATCTAGATATTAATTCTGTCAGTTCCATATATCTCTCCCTAGATTAAATGTGCTTTCCGCTTATTCCACCAAGAAAGGACAGAACTCGATATCATATTGTTTCAGTCTAAGTGATGTCCTCAGTTTTCAACCAATGGGACAAAGTTGATATTGTCATACAATTTTATCATGCTGTAGTATTCTATCATCTTATTGTGTTTACATTATTTTTTTTCTAAACTTTTTTCATTTATATTTTATATGAAACATGTATTTTCAAAAGTATTAGTAAATGATCTCATATATAAAAATTTGCTTAAAGCCCTTATTGCTCTTCGTAGTAGAAATAGTTTTAAGTATACTTTATTGGTGTTAAATTGCATATATCAATGGTTCAGTGGTTGCCCTAGAGTTTTACCCTTTGTGATGAAGATCTCCTTCAGTTGACGTGTAGGAGTCAAGAAATTGAGCACCTATATATCTGCTTATAACTAGTTCTTTATTTGCTTTTCAATTGGGTTCATTTTAATATCTTCGCAGTGTGCATATTGTGGAGGATAGGGTATCAATTTTTGACATTGGCCCAGGAATAGATAGCAGTGAAGAAAACTCTGTAGTTAAGTGGTATGCTATAGATTTCAATATTTACTTACAAACTTCCTTCTTCTTTTAGTGCCTATGTGTGGTTGTTGGATATTTCAGAGGTTGGAACAGGGATTAAGCTTCATTTTTTGACAGTAAGGAAAAGGAAAATTTTTTACTACCACATTTTCAGCTTTGGCTTATTTATTTTACAATTTCGTTGAATATTGATGTAGTTCCTTAAAAATGTAGGAAAGACAAATTTCCAAGAGGTTTACTTTTTATATATGATAAGAAGAAAAAATTAGTTTGTTTGGAAATAGGAACATAAGCTTACAACTAGGTAGAGGAACAACTTCCTGTCTATCTCTCCACCAGAAACCAAATATTTGGGAGACAGGACAAGGAAAGACTAACAAGAAAGAATAGCTACTTAGTACAGGCTATTGGTTTCATATATGAATTTGTAAGAATATCTGACTAGGGTAGACTGCATAAGCATTCATTGATTTTCTTGCATGTTGTGTTTTATATTTATGTAATTTCCAAATAATAGTTACATTTAATGTTGGATATAATTGTTCTTTCCCCACGGTGCACATTTTTAACACATCTCTGATTTACATGAGGTTTTTTCCTAATTATCATGGCTACCTCAGCCTTGGATTATATATTATTCATGGTTCATATGTTTAGGGAAAAGACGAGTGCTTCACTTAACAGGACTTCTTGAGAACATGGTGTAGAAGGCAAACCTCCATACTTAAAGGTAAAGTGTAATCTTGTGAATATTTTAGTATCTTGCCTTTATATTATTTACATATATTTAGTAGTATTGCTTTTTTTACTACAGATAAATATGCGGTATTTCCTTCACTGTCTGTCCTAGTTTCCAATATTAACTTTGATATTAGTCATATTCTCTATTGGAAGTTGTCACTCTTTTTGTTTACAAGATTCTTTGTTTCTTTCGATGACAATACAACCTTTTTTGGCATGTTTGGATATGGAGGACCGATTGCATCTGTCTCTCTTAAACTTCTTTTTTTTCCTCTCTCCCCTTCTCTCTCAATGAATGAGTATTTATTTTTTCAATGAGGCAATGACTTGCTTGCTTTTTTATAGGCGTGCTCTAGTTTTTTCAAAGACAAAAGTATCTAATAAAGTCTTTACATTGCATCTTGAGAGAGAAGCTCTACTAAAGTGCTCAGATTCTGAGCTTACTTGGTGGGTAATTAAGTCACCTTAAGCAAATTATTGTCTTACTAATGGAGATTTGTTTCTTTTGCACATGTTTTTCAACTCCTGATAATGTCATGTTTTTATTATTATTGTTATTATAATTATTATTTTTGGTTGTATTAAGGTTGTGTTACTCTTTTATTTTTAGACTGATGGTGGAGTTAGGGTTCCTTCAGAAGATGAAAGCACAGAATTACCTCATGGAAGTTTTGCAAAGGTGATCTCTGTTTCGTTTTGTCTAGCACTTTGTATTTATTCTTTGGGGTCAAGTATTTCTTACATTTCTGAGCTCTTTAGTTTAAAGTTAGATCATGGTCTTGTAATTTAATAACTGATGCAGATCTTTGTAATTTTGAATCTTTTTTTTTCTTGTGACATTGATTGAATTAGTTTGATACTTGTTATGTTTCTCTCCAGTTTTTCTGTCCAATTGTTTTGGACTATTCTCATTTTCCTTGATACAGTTTGCGTTTCAATTTGATTGATTGACAAAATGATCAAGTCCCTAAGGATAGCATAATCTTTCAGATGAGTATTGTTAATAATCAGTCAAGCAAATATTTTGTTCAATTAATATCTTGAATTATCCTTCATGCATGAAAATACTTTATGAGCTATGTTTTTTTTCTTTTCTTTTTTGATCGGAAACACTAGTGTGTGTGTGTATATATATATATATACATTTGGGGTAAGTAAATATTCATTAAAGAAAAGAAAAACTTTGCAAGAAAGGCCTCTCCCTCTTTCCAAAACACTAGTATATTGATGTATAAAACAAGATTTATGAGTGTTTATGTAAAGTTCTAAAACTCTCTCGAAGCTATGTTTTAACAATTTTTTGTCAAAAATTAAATATTATTGTCTTATATACCTTTATTACCTAAACTATTGTAGAATAATCTGCATTTTATGAGTTCAATTGGACTGTATAGTTGCCAAACATCTGTAGCACAAATATCCCCTAATTTTTTTCTTTAATATTTTTCCTTTATAATTTGTTGTGTTGTCAGCTTTGTTTCATTATTTGGAATACTTACTAGGACTTCGATTGGTGACGGTTTAACGTGCTTATCACTTGGATTTATGAACTCCTTTTCTCCATTGGGAGATGGATGTCAGTGAAATATTTTGAGGCTTAGATTAGGACAATCAATGGACCTTGATTTGATGTTCTATATAAATATTTTGACATGCATGCTAGTGAGTTTTATGAGGCTTAGGGCAATAAATGGACCTTGATTTGATGTTCAATATAAATATTGTGATATGCTAATGGAGCTTAAATATCTAAACCTTTTAGCTTTAAAATCTATGTCCATGAAAACTTTATATATTAAGATTGGTCTTATTTGGAGTATAGCCTACATATTAATAAAACTATAGTTTACTAGGTAGTTGACTGCAAGATACGGAGGTTGTGCTGGGTAAGTATCTAAGACGGGGAAGACCACAACACCAATTGGGCTCCAGGTTTAACTTGTTACTATTATTTTACCGGCTGAATTTCTTCCAAATACTTCAAGTGATTGGTATACATACACAAAGTACTGGGGATTTTTTGTAGCAAATTATACAAGTCATGAGAAGGAATTACAGAAGTCATGGAGATTGGAATGCAGGTTTGTCTTTATTTATGTTATTAATAGAATTCTTTTTTATGTTTCTTTAAATAAAAAAAGAAAATAACAAAAAAAGAATTTCGTCTTGCAGGTTACTGGTGTTGACTTAGTTGAAATTGCAGGTGGGGAGGTTGCAATAACGTCCTAAGTTTGTTTTACAGCTTCACTTTTCCCTTAAACTTGGTTGTTCTACAGCCAAAAGTCCTAGTAGCAATTGCAGTTCTTTTGTCATGATTTTCAATGGCATATCAATTGTCAACAAAATGCAATCTTTGGTAGATTTTAATATCTTAAGAACATGGACATCTCAAGAAGCAAATGCACGCTTAAAATGTGTTTATTTTCTAGTTACGGAGGCATGTGCCATACAGAGCATAACTTTTTCCTGCATGCTAGATAAATTCTAAAATTGTTTAATAGAGGGGGGAGAGAGCATTGAAATGATTATAGAGAAGATAAATTCTGAAGGATGCGGAGTTCCTGAAAACTATGAAACTTTCAGTCGTGTTGCTAATCGTCATCTTGGTAATCTTCTTCCAGATGCTCGCTCGGTAAGTTCTATATCCTATGAATTCAAAAAGAAGTTGACTTTTTAATCACCTAATGACTCACCTCAAATTTTACGTGGACATACATCCACAATGTGGTCAATTTTAGGAGAAGATAAAGTTCCTTGGCTTTTTGTTGTGTTCTTGTTATAGAAAGTTTAATCTGCTAAGTAAGAGCATGTATCAAACATAACCAGAACCAATCATAATGACAAACATGACTATTAGGATAGAAGGATTCAAACAGAGGAATACTTGGTCCACTTGGTTCTGATTCTTGTTTATTTACAACTTTACGTAAAAATTTAAACCTATAGGTAAGAGCTGTACTATAGTATTAAAGCTCTACCACATCCACCCACATGCACTTACGTGTGGACCAACATAAGTACAAATACAATCATAATCATAAACACGACTAATCATAATTAAATTAATAGGAGGATCCAAAGACAAAGATCATTTTAACTTCATTCTAATGTCATTTAAGTTACAGTGTGACCTTAAAGCTTATGTATAGGTCCTATCCAATGCCTAAGTTGCAACGTGACCTAAAAGCTTATGTAAGGGTCCAATAATATTTTTCAAGCTCTACTTCTAACCATATTATGACATAATAATATGTAAGTTGTAAATTTAAGTAGTGAAATTCTGAAAGCTTTTACTAATGCTTTCATTTCTTTATATATCTAGTTATGTTTGGATAAAATTGTTGTATGTATCATCTGCCACTTAATATAAATTCCTGTTACAGATGTATATGACTTCCTAGATGATAGGGATCACATTAAAATCCTTGATTATAGGGATCACTTCTATCCTAATTTAGATTGATCACATACCTAGTTTAGAACACTAGAATTGTATATAAATATGTATCATTTTAAGCTATGAATGAGAAGGGTGTGAATATTCATTACGTTTATTTTACATGGTATCAAAGCCTTAAAAGATAATTAGGGTTTGTGTCTCAAAATTGGGAAATTAGGGTTTGGGTTTCAAAATTGGGATATTAGGGTTTGGGTTTCAAATTGGGAAAACCTGTTTAGGTTGAGATTTGTTCAACACCACCACCCAAGGGAGATTCAGAAGCCTCCAATCGGCAAAACCCTGAGTTCCGGTCGTCAGAATCATCGCGCGTGAGCTCCACGCGCCAGCCGAAACTCCGGTGAACAGTAACACGCGCCGGTGCGTGAGAGCGCGTGCACAGCTAACTTCTTCTCTGATTCTCTTCGTCTGTTTCGTCGGTACTTTTATAGCACATTTTCGTGCTGGATTGGGTAATCTCTTACTGGTTCATTGCTGTTCTTTGTTTGGATATTTCTGAGGACTTAGTTGTGATCTTTCGGCACTTTGTTTTCGTTTGGTTATTGGTTTTTTGCTTGCTGTGGCCTCTGGTTGGTGGTGACTGTTGATTGATTTGGTGTGTCATTGGAATTTATTTAGTTTGCTTTGTTTTAACCGTTTGTTGGTGTGCATTGGGATTATCATCTGTTTAAGACATGTCTGATACAAAGCTAGTGATGGAAATGATACCGACGATGTCGAAAATTACAGGAAACATAAGCTCATTGGTATAACTAATTACCATGATTGGCGTAAAACTATTATACTGTATTTGCGGAGTATTGATAAAGATGATCATATGACTGATGATCCACCTGAGGATGATTCGAAAAAGACATGGCTCCGGGATGATGCTCGGTTGATTCTACAAATACGGAACTTTATTGACGGTGAGGTACTTGGCCTAATTAATCATTGTGAGTTTAATAAAGAACTAATGAATTATTTGGAGTTTTTGTATTCTGGAAAAGGGAATGTTTCTCATATTTATGAAGTGTGTAAGGCATTCTACCGTGCAGAGAAACAAGATAAGTCTCTTACAACTTATTTTATGGAGTTTAAGAAGACTTATGAAGTGTTGAACATGTTGTTACCCTTCAGTGCTGATGTCAAAGTTCAACAAAAACAACGGGAGCAAATGGCAGTCATGAGTTTTCTTGCAGGTCTTCCTTCTGAATTTGAGACTGCTAAGTCTCAGGTTCTAGCTAGTCTAGAGATCTCTTCATTGCAGGATGTCTTTAGTAGGGTACTTCGCATAGAAGGTACCCCACCGGTTCAGTTTAGTAGTGCTCTCGTCAGTCAAAAGAATGACCATGAATCTGGGCGATCACAATTTGGAAGTGACAACAAAGGAGGAGGGTCAAATAGTAATATGGGAGGAATTGTGTGTCACTATTGCCATAAGCCAGGACACATGAAGCGTGATTGTAGAAAGCTTTAGAACAGAAATAGAAGAAATCCCTCTGCCCATGTTACATCCATCAATGATACTTCGGATCAGTCAGTTCTCATCTCTGCAGATGAATTTGCCAAGTTTTTATTGTATCAGGAATCATTAAAGGCTTCACCTACTCCTGTCACGGCTATGGCTGACTCAGGTAAGCCAAATACATGTCTCTTTTCCTTATCCTCCAAATTCGTCATTGACTCTAGTGCAACAGATCACATGTCAGGTAATCCCTATCTCTTTGCTACTTATTAATCAAAAACCCTTTCGAATGTGACTTTAGCAGATAGGTCACCATCCTACGTTCTTGGGTCTGGCACAGTTACCCCTACTCCAGAGCTTCCCTTGTCAAATGTCTTACATTTACTAGATTTTTCTTTCAATTTGATTTCTGTTAGCCAACTTACTCGTGCTCTTAACTGTTGTGTTTTATTCTTTCCCGATTATTGCTTGTTTCAGGATCTTACGATGAAGAAGATTATTGGTAAAGGACATGAATCTGGAGGTTTATACATTCTCGACAGACCAAAATCTACACCTGTCGCTTGTTCTAGTGTTGCATCCCCGTTTCAAGCACATTATCGTTTGGGCCATCCATCTCTTCCTTCATTGAAGAGATTGTGTCCTCAGTTTAATAAAGTGTCTACATTAGAGTGTGAGTCATGTCAGTTTGCTAAACATCATCATGTCAGTTTTAGTCCTAGGGTCAATAAAAGAGCCAATTCTCCCTTTGAGTTAGTTCACTCTGATGTTTGGGGTCCCTGTCCAGTTCTGTCTAAAACTAGTTTTAGATATTTTGTTACATTTGTGGACAATTACTCTCGTATGACTTGGTTATTCTTAATGAAAAATCGTTCTGATTTGTTTTCTTATTTCTGTGCTTTTTATGCTGAGATTAAAACTCAATTCAATATTTCTGTTCATACATTGCGCAGTGATAATGCAAAAGGATATCTATCAGTTTCTTTTCAAAATTACATGACCCAGAATGGCATTCTTCATCAAACTTCATGTGTTGATACTCCATCTCAAAACGAAATAGCAGAACGGAAAAACAGACATCTTCTTGAAACTGCCAGAGCCTTATTATTCCAAATGAATGTTCCTAAACCATTCTGGACTGATGCCGTTTCCACCGCCTGTTTTTTGATTAATCACATGTTGTCTTCTGTCCTTCATGGTGAGACCCCGTACAGTATTCTTTTTCCTAACAAAGCATTATTTCCTCTTGAACCTAAGGTATTTGGTAGCACTTGCTTTGTTCGGGATGTTCGACCATCAGTCACTAAATTAGATCCCAAGTCATTAAAATGTGTCTTTCTTGGTTATTCTTGACTTCAGAAAGGATATCGGTGTTATTGTCCAAGTCTTAATAAGTATCTTGTCTCCATTGATGTTACCTTTCTAGAAGAAACACCATACTTTCCCTCTTCTCCTGCAGATCGTCCAAAGGATGATGATAATGATGATTTGTTAGTTTATACCTTCACTTCCCCTACACCAATATCTGAACTAGCATCTGTCTCTGACCCTGTCACAATTCCTACGCTTCCTGCATCGGCTCCTATCTCTGATCCTGCTTTTGCTCCTATCAAAGTTTACTCTCGTCATCCACCTCCTCTTGTTTCATGTCCGGCACCAACTTCTTTGTCATCCGATCCAGTTTCAAGTGATGATCTTCCTATTGCATTGCGAAAAGGTAAACGACAGTGTACTTATCCTGTTTCTTCTTGTGTTTCTTATGATCATTTGTCACATGCATCATGTTCCTTTATTGCTTCCTTTGATTCTATTACTATCCCTAAAACTGTTCATGAAGCCCTTTCTCATCCTGGTTAGCGTAATGCAATGATAGAGGAAATGAGTGCCTTAGATGACAATGGTACTTGGAAATTGGTAGATTTACCTTCAGGGAAACATGCAATTGGATGCAAATGAGTGTTTATAGTTAAAGTTAATCCAGATGGGTCAGTTGCTCGACTAAAAGCTTGTCTGGTTGCTAAAGGATATGCTCAGACTTACGAAGTTGATTATTCTGATACTTTTTCCGCTGTGGCTAGGTTTACCTCTATTCGGCTGTTTATCTATATGGCAGCTACTTATGATTGGCCTTTGTATCAGCTAGACATCAAGAATGCTTTTCTTCATGACGATCTTTAGGAAGAGGTATATATGGAGCAACCTCCTGGGTTTGTTGCTCAAGGGGAGTATGGGAAAGTATGTTATCTTTGCAAATCTCTACATGGTTTAAAACAGAGTCCTCGTGCTTGGTTTGGAAAGTTTAGTCAGGCTGTTGAGAGATTTGGTATGCTAAAATGTAAAACTGACCATTCTGTTTTCTACAAACGGTCTGAATCTAGCATCATTCTTCTAGTTGTGTATGTGGATGATATTGTTATTACTGGGAGTGACAGTGTGGGCATCACATCTCTTAAGTCTTTTCTCCATACCCAGTTCCACACAAAAGACTTAGGGATGTTGAAGTATTTCTTGGGGGTTGAAATTACAAGGAGAAAACGAGGTATAT